AATTTTTAGATTTCTTTCAAAAAAAATTAGGGCCCTACAGTTCAATCTAATTTTCTTATCTCACATCGATGTTTATATTATATGTATTATCACTTTACAGTCTTATTACTAAAATTAATTATCTATCGTATAATAGGTATGAATAATGATTTTATATTTCTATAACTTAAATTTAAGGCTATTTTTTGATCAATTTGTTTATAATGAATAGAATAACTATAAAATAGAATAAGTAGAAGTAATACACTATTTGAAACTAATCAACCATAGTTGTATTACTAGTTAAACTAATTTTCAATTATGTTTTTTTTTATCTTTAACAAATAGTATGTATCATTTGTATTTGATCTCCGAATTTGACTATAGTTAACATAATTTTTGTTGGAACAATTTAAATTTTAATTAGTATGTTGTATCTCAAAAAAAAAAAAGACAAAACAAATAATTTTTAAATAAACATACTTTAATATTTTGATAACTATTTAATACTAATATTATTATTGAATAAATATTACTAGGGTTCCACATAACATTTTTGCGTAAGACCCCTAGTTGGGTTGGGTCGGCCCTGGCATTACTAATACTATCAAAAGTTGGAGGAAGATAGAATCACTTGTTAAACTTACTAAGTCATTTGTTAGATCATGACCTATACTCTCAAAACTCGACTATATGCATGGCATCACCATTAAATGTTAAATGTGTCATCCGATGATATAACTATTTATTGGTAATACCCTATCAAAATATGCTAATGACTTAAAAAAAATACTTTAATTATGTGGAACAAGGTCTAAAAAATACCAAAAAAAAAATGCAAGAAAATAAAGAAATAAATGATATCTAAAATATGCACCAAGTTCAAAATGCGCATTAATTTCTATATTTCTCAAACTTCAAATGATCCATTTTTCTAAAGAAATCAAAACTACTATGATAACCAAAATGTTACACAAAAACATCAATGGGTAGAACCTAACTTTGAAAATACCAATTAGGAAACTTGTGATCTTGAAACACTTTCATGCACCCTATGTGCACGACTCTTTTCTGCTCCGTCTACTTTCGTCTTTTTTAAATCCTAAAAATAAAAAGGGTTAATAGTATTTTTAGTTTTTAAAATAGGCACATTTTATCAGTTTGATCTCTAAAGTATCAATTTTATTACTTTAATCCTTAAAATATTCAATTCGTGTTTAAATAATTCTTACATAGACGGACCTTCAATTTGTTTACAGAATGATCGTGTGTTGGGCATACGATACCATCTGAAAAATGACACGTAACCACTTCCGTCACAAAATTCAACGAATTGTCTGATTAGGGATCAAAGTGACATGAATTGAAATTTTAGGGACCAAATTAATAAAATTAATACAATGAGGACCAAATTGAAAAAACAAGCATACTTTAGGGACTGAAGGAACTATTAATCCAAATGAATATATGATTTCACTATTCTAAAAAATTTGACAAGAAGATTATCGAGAGCAATTGTGGTGGCAGTACATCAAACACACCACCTGTTTGCTCTCATTCGCTTCCACTTGCTGCCTTGTACTGCTAAATGTCTTTCACTCCCTTGGAGGAGGCTCATAACCTCACGGCCACCCTACCATTGTTGTATTAATGTATTCCCTACGGACGACCACGATTTGTTTTTGTCTCATTTTCAAGAACATTACAGTGTTCAAGAACATTAGGGTCTAATTTTCTGTCAAACCACAAGTAGGTTTTGAACAAAATTTTCCTGATATTATCACCAGCATCAGCTGAGCTATAACATATCCAACAATCAGGTCAAATGGATGTGGTGTTACTAAAGTACTCTTAATGCAAAAAAGAAGCTTAGCCCATTCAAATGATAATGATAAAGAAAATTGAACAATAGAACACCTTAAGCGGTTTTGATATATCAATGTAGGAAGTCATTTGTCACATTTAGAGGCTTATCTTTTATCGAAGTTTTGGTCAAAAATATACCAAAACTCATAGGATTAGAACGTTTCACATGCTATGATGCCTTTCTTATTCATAGACTAACACAAATTAATATTCATCATGGGGGTATTAGTATTACTTCATACAAGAAGCAATTTCCACGAATCCATGGTTTAGAAAGCCTCCATTGCCACACACAATGGTTGGAGAGAAAGATAAAGGGAAAGAAGACGTAGATGAATAATGAACTACTAAGGGTATTTCACTAACTCAAGGCAATCCAAACGAAGATGGATTCCACCTAACTGATTAGGTCAACCACACCCAATGGGTGCTCGAATTTGGGTTCAACACAATGTCTAAGATAGAGATTCTATTGAGACAGTGACAGTCACTTTTTATACTAATGTAAATGATGGTAATTCTACACTCTACATAGTTTCATACGAGACTTTTTTACCTTTTAAACCCATCGAGGGACCTTATGCATATAATCTGCTAATGTATCATCTGGATTTAACACCTTTGGGAGTATGAGTAGAACAAGTTCCATCACTGTGTACTATATAAATGAGATTGATATTAATTGGTCTCCAATCCTACTCAAATTAATTTAGATGTAGCAACAAATACGAACAAGGAAGCTATGCTAGCCTAGTTAGGTTTGGTCCCGAGAGGTGTTCCAGGCGCAGTCAGGAGCCTTATGATTCCATCGGTGAGAGCCTATCGGGGTGGTCGCTGGACGCTATTCCTTACCCCCACCCATTTTTTTTATTTATCAAAAAAAAAAAAAAGAAAAAAAAAAGGAAGCTATTGTAATCCAATGATATAAAAAAGTTTAAGAGAATAAACTCACTATCTCCTCTACATGTGACATGAACATGCTCCATATTAGTACCAAAATATGCCCTTCTAAGTCTTCACACCATGCGTATGGGTTTATACCCATAAACTATTTCCGAAGTTTATATTTATTGCATTCTGTTCCTTGTGTTTTCAAAAATTATAGCAAACCCAATTTTAGTAACGATCAACTAATAGAATAATAACAACATAATAAAAGAATCTAGGTTGAATAATTCTATACACGGCCTTCAATTGACATAAAATTAGCGAGTTTGTGTTGAATTTTAGCAGATTTTGGGTGGTAAAAAGGTGAATCTGTTATACCATCAAATATATGGGTTAAACAAGACATGAACCCGCTAAACACAGTTTATACACGACACGAATACAGGATTATAAATGGACTAGGTATGGGTTGAGTCAATTTTTACCCAACTATTCACACCAAAATATGCAAAATTTTCTTAATCCTAGGTGGTTCAACAACTGGCCCAAAGATCTCTTATGGTCCATTTGGTATGATGAAAAAAATGAAATGATGGAAAGTTTAAGGGATAAATAAAATATCATGTTTGGTAAGGAAGGAAAATAGGAAGGATGAAAAATGGATAGATTAACTTTCCCTCCAACTTACTAAAATCAATCCCTCTAAAATCGGAAGAAAAGTGGATGAAAAGTTAATTATTTGTGTTGATATGTATCTTATTTGTCTATATATTATATATAAATTAATTTAATATAAAAATGCAATAATAAAATATATATTTATATATATATATATACACCAAATTTGGGTATCCATTTCATCGGAGCTAAGAGGTAACTTTTTTTCCTGCATACCTAGCAGATAGACTCGAATGAATACACCTGACAGCAAAGCTTTATCGTAATCCTCAGCTCTTTTAATTACTCATTTTAAAATCTTGGCATATACATCCATGTTAGGAACAGCATTCCCTCTAGAATCATTTAAAGAAATAGCTCCACCAATTGTATAGGAAACATCTGCAGTTGGTATTTGCAAGACATAACCTATAGTAAACTTACCGTACTCAAACCCAGTATTGTAAGTGTACTTCGTTAACAGTCACATTACTTCCAATGCCACCACTACATAATCTGCACATAGTAGGTAAGGCTATTTAAATCTTATTTCAGCTATTTTCGACTCAACACGATAATACGATTCGAATTAGATACGAATTTTATGACACGAATGTGATTATAATACGACACCAACTTGAAAATGACCTGACACGCAACAAAAAATATAAAAGACTCATAATTTTATGAGTTAACACGAATCTAACAGGACATGACTCAATTGTCACCCTTAATTTTAGCCAGTACAAAAAAAAAAATTAGTCATTTTTATTTTTCATCCATCCAATCAAACACAAAGGAAGGAAAGTATATTATTTATACTTTCTATTCTTGAAATATAGAAAGTGTATTCTTTCTATTTTTCACCCTTATTACTTTCCATTATTCCTACCAAACAAAACACTAGTGTCTCGGAGGCGTGTTGAATCGTACCTAGACATGGTAATAATGAAGAATCGGTTGCAGACGGTTGAGAACATGTCTGTAGCCGTTACAAAAAGAAACCCTAGACACAGACGAAGTGGCCGATAAAGGTGGCTTTGACGGGTAGAGGTTACCATTTATAAATAGGAAGAGGATAAACCAATAAGAGAATCCTAACATCAACAACTCAAGCAGTCGGCTTATCAAATTAGCCCTTGCACTACACATTTCCATTTCTATTTATGTTTAAGTTTCTTTTCTAGCTGCTCAATCACCACACTACTGACAACAACTTTATTCTATGTTTGGTTCAATGTATACTCAATAAAGCTCGTTCTGTTCGTTCATGCCCGTTTTACTTTTTTCAGTCCCATTTTGTTTAGACAGTAGTCCTTCAAGTGAATTGATTAACTTCTTGATCTCAAAGGCATAGAAAAAAAAAATCCAAAAGTAGACCTATATAGCTCATATCATTTGAAATTAATAATATGCTACCATGTTATTTGAATTCTAAATTTAATCTCAAATTTGGTCAGCGTGACATAACTGCTTTAAAAAATACACAAAACACTAAAACAACTTCAATGCAACACAAACCCGACCTAACCCATTTATATGCCTAGCAAAATCACCATATTGCCCTTTGCTCCGAATAAAATAAAATTTATCTCAAACCCGACCAAACCTCAATAATCCTCTCTTTCTCTCCCTCTCCAGTCTGCACCACCCACCCAAAACCCTCCCAACCCAACAATCACCCAAGGCTCTCTCACCCACCGCCTGCCCATTACCATGAATAAATACTGAACAGAATAGAGAAGCAAAACAAAGAAGAAATGGTATCACATAAATCTTATTACTCAAGTCACTTTTACATCATATGTTGTCCTATTTATAGAACTCAAGATAATTACAACAGAATAGAGAGAGAGAGAGAGAGAGATTCTAACTAATAACAGAAAGCCTTTAACAGTCTATTAATTACAATCATGTTTGATTTACTTGAGCAACACAATTCTGTTTGGATAGCTCATCATCTCCTGTAACTAACTTAGGAGTGCTAGTGTTGTACTTCAACTGTAATGCTACTGAACTACTTCTTTGTTGTTGGACTGCTGCTAATTCCACACGATAAGCTAATTGAGTGATACCCAAAATTCTGTTAATATGCCCCCTCAAACCCATGGAGGAATTCACCATGAGTTTGCTTCTGAGAAGGCCAAAACAAAATGTAGGCAACCCTTTCAATATGTTTCGTACGAGCATGAAATAAAGGTTTTGAAGTGAGTGCTAGTGCTGAAACATTGTCACATCTCAACAAAGGAACTTTGGACATAAGATTTTTAAATCAAACAGGAGCATTCTGAACTAGGAGAGCTCAGCTGCTGTGACTACCAAAGCTCTACATTCAGCCTCAGTAGAAGATCTGACAACAGTGGCTTGTTTCTTAGCTGCCCAATGGATAGGATTAGAACCCAAAAAAATAGTAAAACCAATGATAGATATTCTATCAGTAGGATCCCCAGCCTAATCTGTATCACAGAAAGCAGAAAGCTGAAGATATCCTAGATTGCAGGTGAGGCCAAGAGTAGAAGTACCCTTGATATATCTCAGTATCCTCTTAACAGCAGCAAAGTGGAGGTCTGTAGTACTCAGAAACTAGCACACCTAGTTCACTACAAAGGTGATATAAGGTCTGGTAAAAGTAAGATACTGCAAAGCTCCAACAAGGCTCTTGTATAGAGTAGGGTCAAAAAGAAGGGCACCTTCATGATTGTGGAGTCTTTGAGTAGCAACACAAAGGGTGGACCAAGGTCTACAGTCAGACATATTAGCTCTTTGTAATAAAGCTGCAGCATACTTCTCTTGGTTAATGAATAGACCAAAGAGAGTGTAGTGAATTCCAAGACCCGAAAAGAAGTGCAATGGACCAAGATCTTTCATATCAAAGGTTTGACTAAGATGAGAAATAAGTTGAGCAATATAGAAAAAACCATTCCCTGTGATGATTATATCATCAACATATAGGAGAAGAATGGTGAGAGAAGAACCTAAGACTAACAAAAAGAGAAGAGTCAGCAATAGAAGCAGTAGACTAATAGGTAAAAATATGGGAAGTGAACTTCTCAAACCAAGCTCTAGGAGCTTGTTTAAGGCTATAGAGAGCTTTCTTCAGTTGACAGACATGATGGGGAAAATCAGGATCAACAAATCCTTGTGGTTAAGTCATGTAAACCTCTTCCTCAAGTATTCCATGAAGAAAAGCATTCTTCATATCAAGTTGATGAAACTTCCACTGAAATTGAACAGCAAGAGCAAGAACCAATTTTACAGTGGCTTGTCTAACTACATGACTGAATGCTTCTGTATAGTCCAGCCTTTTCTCCTGATGAAAACCTTTGGCTACCAACCTTGCCTTATATCTGGCAATAGAACCATCTAGGTGTTGTTTGATTTTGTACGCTCACTTACAACCAATCACATTGTGATACAAAGGTGAAGGAACAAGGATCCAAGTATGCTGATTCTGAAGAACTGTGAATTCTTCTGTCATAGCTAATCTCCAGTCTGTCATAGCTAATCTCCAGTCTGATGAGTTGGATACTTGAGTATATGACTTAGGTTCAGTAATAGGAAAAGAACAGGATGAGGAAATAGCTGTAAAAGTTTTCTTCTTTAAGATGCCTTACATACTTCTGGTTTGCATGGGGTGAGAGTTCAAAGAAGGAACAGTTGGTAAGACTAAAGAAGAAGGTAAAGAAGCAAAAAATAGATTCAGTAGGCAACTGATCTATAAGTACTGAATGATTGGATTAATAAGGGATGGTAGAAGATAAGAAATGTCTGAGGAAACTATAGGAAGAGGTAAAGAACTATCAGTGCTAGAATGCAGATCTAGGGTTGGTGAACCAAGAATAGAAGGGATAGTAGCTAGAAACCAAATATCAAAAGATAATGAAGAAGGAGGAATGTCACTGGTATGATGAGCAAAGGGAAATCGATTCTCATAAAAAACATGCCTAGATATATAAAGTCTATTTGTATGCAAATCAAAACAAAAGTAGCCTTTGTAATCAGAAGGATAACCAAGGAAAACACACTATTTGGTCTTAGGTTGAAGCTTGTTAGAATTATAGGGTTTCATGAGAGGATAACAAGCATAACAAAAATCTTTCAGATTAGAGTAATCAGGTGGTTTGCTAGAAGTGTTTTTTCTAGGCATTTGATTGATTAGGTAAATTGCGGTAGCAAAGGCATGGAACCAAAATGAAGGAGGTAAATAAGCTTTAGACATGAGAGTAATTGTTGTTTCAGAAATGTGGATGTGTTTCATTTTAGCAATACCATTATGTTCTAGGGTGTGAGGGCAAGACCTGAGATGCTGAATGCCTCGGTTGGATAAACATTGCTGAAAATCATGATTAATGTATTCCCCACCTCATTTTGAATGTAAGGTGCTAATGTTGGAAGACAAAACATTATTTACATATGCCTTGAATTGACAAAACACAAAGAAAATTTTTGATTTATTTTTCAAAAGAAAGACCCAAGAGAATCTAGAACAATCATCAATGAAAGACACATAGTACCTAAATCCATGAACAAAAGGATGAGGGGAGGGACCCCAGACATCACTATGTACAACTTGTAAGGATGTAAAGACAATGACTTAGAAATAGGGAAAGACAACTTGGACATCTTCCCATATAAGCAATGTTCACAGATGTGATTATCAGTTGCTTGTTGTGATTGCCGAAAAGGAAAAGTAGAGCAATTTTGCTGAAGAAATGGATTAGAGACATGGTCTAATCAATTATGTCTTTGTTGGAGAGAGACACTTGTTCCAAGATGAGCAACTGGAGAACTGTTGCAGACACAATGGATGGGATACAAACCATCTTTACTCTAGCCTTTGCAAAGTATTTGGTGTTACTTTGTCCTAAATCAAAAAAGAGTCAGAATCAAAGAGAAAAATGCAATTATTCTCTAATCAAAACTGCTTAATAGAAAGAAGATTGGTTGCTATAGAAAGAACTCTAAGTACATTAGTTAGTTTGAAAGAATGTGAAGGAGCATGCAAGAGAGTTTTACTTGTATGAGGTATTTGGAGTTCCTCACCATTACCAACAGAGATTTTATCTTCACCAAAGTATGGAACATTCAGAGATAGATTTGCAAGATCTGGAGTTAAGTGGTGTGAAGCACCAGTATCAGTAAGCCAGCAGTTTACTGTACTTGGATCTGGCTTTGCACTAAGTTGTGGAAGTGGAGGTCTACCTTGATATGAGTAGTCCATTCTATGATAGCATTCAACTACACTATGTCCTCTCTTGTTGCAAATTTGACAAAATATAGGATTTGTCTTATTGAATCCTTGTCTTGAAGGATTTTGTGGTTGCTAATTATTGAATTATACTTTCCTTGAGAATTAAACTGGTTTCCATTACCTCTATTGTTGTAACCACCTCTATGTTGATATCCACTTCCGTTATTGTTTCCACGAGCTCTTCCTTTTCCTAGCTGAGAATAATTCTTGCCTTGTTGATTGTAGTTGTTCTGTGAAGCAGCCATAGCACTAGGTGTGGATTGAGACTGATTAAACTTTGATGATGTTAAATCAAGAGAGTTTTCTTCTGCTTTTAACAATACATGTAACTCCTCAAGAGAAATAGGTGATGCTCTAGTTCGAATTGCAGTTCTGAATGGCCCCAATTCTGAAGGAAGTCCATTCAATGCGTAAATCAAAATATTCTCATCTTCAACATGAACGGTTACTGAAGCTAACTTATCCCTAGCTTTTTTAATTTTCTGCAAGTAGACATCGACTGAATCTGTACCTTTAACAATAGTCTGCAAATTTGTTTTGAGTTGCAGAATGTTTGATCTAGATTGAGAAGAGAATCTTCTTTGTAAGGCTAGCCAAACTTCTCTAAAAGTAGTGTAGCAAATGACATGAGAAATTGCAAACTGTGAGAGTGTTGCATTAATCAGAGTTATGAAAGCCTGATGTTGAACAAACCAGTGATGATAATTAGGATTGATAATCCTCCTGAATCACTTGAATGAACTGTTCTGGACACAAACGTGTTCCATCAACAAATTCAATGAGTGAATGAGCCCTTAGGAGTTACGAGAGCAGTAATTTGAAACTTCCATGTGACATAGTTTGTTGAATCCAATCTCAATGAGATTAAGTTGCATATGTTTGACATAAGGTAAATGGGAGTTTGAACATTTGAAGAAGAAGAAGTTCCTGTAATAGAGGTTGCAGTTGAAGAAGATGATGCAGAAGTAGCTATTGAAGAAGAGGTTTGTCTTTTTCAAGGCTCTGATATCATGAAGAAATACTGAACAGAGTAGAGAAGCAGAATAAAGAGAGAATGGTATCACATAAATCTTATTTCTCAAGTCACTTTTACATCATATGTTGTCCTATTTATAGGACTCAAGATAATTACAATAGAATAGAGAGAGAGAGATTCTAACTAATAACAGAAAGCCTTTAACAATCTGTTAATTACAATCATGTTTGATTAACTTGAGCAACACAATTCTGTTTGGGCAACTCATCATCTCCTCTAACTAACCCAGCTGAAGAGGATCGAGTGCTACTACTGTCCTTCAACTATAATGCTGCTGAACTACTTCTTCTCTATTGGACTGCTGCTGATTCCACACAATGAGCTAAATGAGTGATACCAGTTAATGTACCATACCCCCACCTCTCTCTACTGCTCCCCCAATCTCTCTTCCTATGTATATGTATATAGCCACATGTATAATGTTTATGTGTGTACCTTTGTTGAGGGTCTACTTGTAAGACCCGAATTTAAATTTATAACAAAATTGTGAATTAAAAGGAAGATTAGTATAAAGAATGGGGCTAAAATTTAATTCATTGGAATAAAGGGGGAATGAAATGTAATTTTTCTTAATAAGAAGGAGATAAGGGAGGAGTTTTAGACGGTGAAGGAACAAACGAAAAAAAAAAAAAATACAGAAGCTGGAATAAGAACGGAGAAGAACAGAGAAGAAGAAAAAAAGAAAAGGAAAAATATGAGTTTCAATTTGAATCCGATGATGATATTATTTCCGTTTCTTATAAAATTTGAGTATGTTGTTCATCGTAGTTTGAATTTCATATTTATCGGTTCAGTTTCTTCAGATGAAGTTGTTTTGTTTATTTATATTTTCTTTCAATTGAAAATCTTTTGGGTGGAGTCTTCAT